AACTTTAAAAAATATATATAAATTCAAAACATTACTAAGCTTAACAAAAAGATCTTACTTTTAAATAATCTACTATCAAAGAATATTTTGAGAAAAAAAAACCTGTTTACTTTGGATAATATCTTTTCTATGCGATTTGTGTGACGTTAAATCTTCCTTCTTGAGAAAGCAACAAAAATCTGCTATGATAGCCAGATCCCACCACCATTGGTGCCTTATTTCTATTGTTGGGACATCTTAATGAAATCTCTCTCCTTCTTCATCACTCACCGCACCAAAATTGCAGGAAAAAAATCTAAATGAGGGTGTAGAAAATTCATTTTAAGAAACAATAATCTGCATTCAAGCTTTTGTTCGACTAAAGCCTCTTCCTGACTTGGCGGTACGGTATCGGTGCAATAAAGTACGCTCGGTAAATTTTTTACCGATTCTCTCTCGACCTAGCGCCTATATTTGAATGCACGCTCCTGTTTGGCGCGGGCTGCGCGGGAACGGGCGGTAAACGTGCGGCAATACGGGCACCTAGTAAATCCATTGATACTGAACGTAATAGACCAAGGTTTTTCCAAGTTTCTGTAAGATTCAATTGTTTTACACCGAAAGCATACCGACAGTACACCGATAAGTAAGGCAGATCTGGCTGACATCAATAAGCTCTCGGTAACAGAAAATACCGCATACAGATAGCGCACCGCCAAGTCAGGAAGACGCCTAAAGCAGTTTATTTACTAAAAGTTGATAGTTTTCTGATTTTTTATTGCATAGAAAGCCCTTAATGGTTACAACGAAACAGTTCCATGTATGTGCAGTTGCTTTTGATTTAATTTTTGGATAAACAATTCGTCCTCTGGCGGACGACGTCTGTCAGAGGGCTATGTAACACACAGATTAAGGAGACTATAGTACTCTCATGAACCTTAATAGGTAGAAAGTTGTAATTTTTACAGAGTATATATTTCTATTACCGCTATAACAACAAATAATAAAAATAAAAAGAAACATTTTTTTAACCTTCGTAATCGATCATCGTAATTAATATACCTACTACCTAAATACATACCTAAATACGAAAGTAAAAGCACGGTAATATTACATTACATTACCGTGGTAAAAGTCCCAATTCACATTAATAATAAGCACCTACATGTACGATGGTACGGAACCCTTTGTGTGCGAATTCAACTCGCACTTGTTATTTTTACTTTATATTTACCAGATACCCATATTAAATGCAAAATGAATTTGCCATATTTTACATAATTTAGTAAAAGGAAAAAAAGTAAAATTGTCGGGTTTTTTTAATCATTGTATATCCTACAGGTAGTTACTATCTATAAAAACTATTTTGACCTATTACTAGACCTTTGACGTTGAAAGACGTCTAAAACCATAATCTCTCCCGTGACCATGATTGCTGTATATCATTCGAAACGTAACAATTAGTCAGAAAATACTAAAGATCCAAAAAGATTTATTTAAAATATCAAATGTTCGCCTAAATCCATATACATAGAGAGTGGTCAGTAGACTCAGTGTTTCTTTGCCTAGAGGGTAGAGTTAAGGAGAACTATCTTTGTGATAAAAAAGTGCCCATCAAAATGCGTTAAATTAGAATGGCGCCATGGTAGCAAGTGGGGACATTTTGAAGAAAGTGCCAAAAGTATTATTAAAAGTTCACGAAAATATATCACTCTCTACGTTTACGTCACCACAGTTTTTTCGGTTATATTTAGTAAATAATTTTGGACTATGTAAATAGTTTCAATAACTACTCAATTCACCCGAAGTATTGAATTTTTCGACTCAGCACATTTCACTCCACTTACAACTGATAAATTGATATCATAATCTCTTGCTACGCTAGCGCCATTCTGGTGGATTTTTGAATTGTTATTTACCGCTTACAGGTGGATACTTTTTTAACTGGTCTCCCATATAAGATAGTTCTCCTTACCTCTACCCTCCATACTTTGCCAGCCGTCAAATAAAAATGGCGGAAAAGCGACGGGTACAAAACGAATGTACAGCCAGAAGTCTTCTGTATTAATGGGGAAGATTTCTTGAAAGGAGGGCACTACACGTGAAATTGATTAAATTACATTCAGTCTGAAGTTAAGCAATTTATTATGATATCTCTTTTGTACCTGGTTTTTTACTTCTGTTGTGTTCACATTTTACCGGTATTGTATCTGGAAGTTAGACCAGCTGAACGAAGAGTTGAGAAGGAGAGGTGCATTTTGTGGTGATCCTGACTGACTGATGGATCAACACACAGCCTAAACCGCTGGTGGTATTTGGAAGGCTTATTTCTTATATGATTTAGGCATCCTATAAGAAAAGATTTTTCGAAGTTCATCCCATAAGTTGGTAAAATAAGGGATTAAGATTATATGAAACTCTTTGATTCTTAATGTGAAATACAAAAAATAGTGTTTAGCTTTAAAATAAGAACTATAATTATTTGATTTTTTTTCGAAATTCATTCAAAGAAAACCAAAAAGGGGGTAATAAAGTTTATATGGCTAAAGGACTATTTATTATCAGAATTACTTGAACTTGATATTAATACTATTCATTACAATCAAATAAATAAGTGTTTTAGAATTTTTCGAAATTCAATCCCATAAGTGGGTAAAGTTGGAGATGAAAGTTTGTATAAAACTGTAAAATGTAAAGTATAAAACAGAAAGGTGGTATTTACCTTTTAAATGAAAAATAAAAGTATACAAATATTTTGTATTAATTTTTATATTTTTGTGAGAAAAGCTCCTTATTCAGATTTCTATCTCGTAGTCTTTCTTCCGTTGCAGTTGCATAAGGTGTTAAAAACCTGGACCAAGGAAAAACAGACGGAACCGCATTCTCCGTTAACTTTCGACGTTGTAAATTAAAACCTGCAATTTAAGCAATTCTGGTTGTTTATATATTATGTATCTGTGTAAGTTCCAATAGTAGTAAAAAAGTACAAAATATTAAAAAAAATCACCTGTAGACGATTTAAGTGTTAAAATCATTTTCTGTAAAATGATGTCCACATAGCCTTAAATATAAAAATGATGATTTCCACAATTTTGCCATTTTATTGCCTTATCCCACAATTTCTCCAGTTTTTATCTTTTGGGAATAAATGATATCCATTTTCTTTGCATCCTTGCACTGCAGAATTTGTCATTTTAACAAAATTTAAACAAATTGAAAAAAAAAACCATCCACGCTATTCAGCTTTACAATATACCGAGGGCTATAGTGATCGTGACATCTGGCGGGAGATAAAGGCGTAATTCTACCAAGATATGTAAATAACTGTCTATTGAAGGCTATCATTTCTGGTGGCACCAGTTGGCGCCACTGGTGAGTAAGACCCTATCGTTGTCGTTGAAACAGTATTTGCTAGTGCGGCAGGCTAGTTTTTTAATAAAAATAATAATTGATAGCGTGAAAACAGTTCTATCAGGATTTTAAATAATTAATCCTACCCAGATAAATAAAATACTTATTGACTTTTTCTTAACTCTTCTATTAAAGGAATAAGATTTATTGAGCCGTACCGTATCTTCCATAATTAATCAGGAATGGTACATTCTTTATAATAATCATAAATGAATTAGTGAAAATCCTCAATGAAAAGCTCGCAAACAGTGCACGTTCAGTGTCATTTTACATTTCTAGAAACCTCACTCTACACTAGCACCCTCTCGCAGCGAATTCAAGCACGGTTGCCAGCATTTTATATATCATGGGACCTGCGGCTCGCGAGCCACAGGCGGCTCTTTGAAGGCTTATTTGTGGCTCGTGATAAATGTACCCGAGTTCCCTTTCCATTTTTGTGCTATATATTTTAAAAAAATATTATCGTTCCTTATGTTCAAAATGTCTTTTAAATTACTGACAAAATTCGTGAAATCCAAACACCAACCAGTAATTAACCAGTATCTGAAAGAATTACTGAGAAGCGCTGTCGTCAATTATTCACCAAATAAAGAATTATCAAGAGAAATAAAATAAATGTGTTTAATTTTTGAAGTGAAACTTCTTTAGAATCGTTGTAATTTGAAACTCGATGCAACGGAAATGCGACAGTAAAAAGAGACAAACATATAAATATATAGGATTAAGCCGGCGATAGAATGAGATAGAATACATTGCGATGATGCCATGGTAACCGTTGTTATTTGATAGAATACATTACAAAGGAAGTGAAACATAATAAAATTCATTACTGATTATTATGTAATGTTTATATTTATGTCAAATAAAATGTAAAATAACTTTTAAACTTGGTAAAAATAATATAAAAAAATCCTTATGATTATCCTACTCCTGATACTCTATATTCGTATCATTTTCTGAAGTTTCACTTCTACGATGTGTGAATTGCACATTTATTTTTAATATTTAAATTCAATACACATATTTTGCACATTTATTTATGTTTTCCATAAATATAATTCTGTAAAAAAAAATTAATACCATTTTTGCATACCTTTTAAATACGTATTTAATTGCGACTTGCGAAAAATATCAAATTTTGAAAAACGGCTCGGACTATCACGGAACTTGGCCACCTATGTATATACCTTCACGTTTGGCCGCATAATTATACAAGAATATATTGAATAAAGCTTAACAGAATAAAAGAATTGTTCAAAAAATCTTTTAATTTGCTATCTTATATTTAAAAAATCATTTTTTAAAACAGACATTCACTGAATAAAAGAATTCAAAAAAATGTTTTATTAGCTATCATATTCATATTCGAATTTTATTACTTATACGTAAAATAAATTTATAACTTACCAAATCCCATGGTAACTTAGAATGGTATTTCAACCAATATTAAAAAGAAAGTTGTAACTTGTAAATCGTCGTTGTAAAAATGTATTTATGATTTTACTCCACATGCAACTTTGTAATATAACTTTTTAATATAGCCCTTAACCCTAAATAAGAAGCGGCAACACTATTACTTCTATTATCATGACATTTGTCTATAGATTAAGATGGCGGGTGATGAAAGTGACAGGTTTGTAAATAAAGAAAACTTAAATAATTTATTCCAAATTAACATTTTCTTTTATTTTATATCTAGTAACTTCCTGTCCTAAATAATATTAGAATTCATAAATTGAGTATGTTTTATTAATATTAAAAAATCCTTTATTTTATTATACTTTGCAGTGATCTTAAGCCTTCGCAAGTAGTAATAGTTAGAGAAGTATACGATAGTGAAAATGCTCACATTAAATTTGAAATGGAATTGGAAAGAGCACTTGAGGCTGGTGTGAGTGTCATTGTCATAGAGCCTGAACCGCTCGGTGAAGAAACAGCTAGGTGGATTTATGTTGGAAATCTATTACATAAAGTCTCAGTTTATAGTGGATTATGTAGCATAGCCTCAGGTACGAAATAAACTGCTAATAGAATTTAATTTTATTACTTCATTAAATTAATATAAAGTATTATATTTGTAGGCTTGGCATGGAGCTCATTGGCTTGCACACCATTTGGTGTAGTATCGGTCCTATGTTCTGGTTGCTACACACTATCTTGGCAGTGGGATCCCTGTTGTAAGTACCAAGAAGAAAAAGATCTACGCCGTTTATCTAAATTACCCATTTTGAGTGATTTAACATCAGCATCTCCTGTTGTTCTTGTGCACAAAGATAATAGAAGAAAAATTATTTTACATAGTACAGTATCATTAGCTGCTGCAGCTATTTGCTTGTGGAGAATTTATAATACTTTTAAATAATGTAGGAACTTATAAAATGCAGCTAATGCACTTCTATAAAATAATGTTTTCAATTTTTTTTAATTGAATTATCTTTTGTATAAAATAATATGTTGTAGATAAAAGTGTAAAATTTGTTAGAATTATTTAAATAATTTACTGATTAGAATAGATTTTTCTGTACAAACAATTATTGTTATAAGGATGCTTTTTAGAATTGATAGCAGGTTGTTAAAAATACTTTGCTATAGGACCATGTTAACAGTGAAATAAAGATACAATTTCACAGTTACTATGAAATAAAAGTTAAATTATAAATTAAGCATCATTTTTATTTCCCTCTTATCACTTAACAAGCATATACCTCTTGTCAATTGACACAAAACCAAATCCTACCACTATTATTATTGTTTTATCTAACATATTATCAACAAAATTTATAAAAAAATCACATCCAATTACTAGTAATAGAAGTTGAATATGGATAACATATATAACTCATGCAGTTTTATTTGCCCTCCTAGCCATTAGCCAAAAATATACAGATGGTAAAGAATGCCTTATAAATATTGCAAGTTTTGGCAAAAATTGACTAATCACTAATTCGTTATCTTTATTTACAACCATATCCAACATTTTTTTTGCAACATATTCAGGTGTAAATCCAGCAGCTGTACTCTTATCCATTACTGAAAAACAAAACAAAATATGAATAATCAATTCTCACAAAATTTAAATTAAATAAAATTGTGTGCAATTCCACATGGTAAAAGTGAAACTTCAGACAAGTACTATGAGAGAATGAGATGCATATAGAGTATCAACAGTAGCATAATGGTAAGGTTTTTTTTACCAGGTTTAAAAGTTATTGTAAAACGGTACTGCTAAATAAGTATTAAATTTTAACCTTTTCATTTTTTGAAGTTGATAAAACAATAGTTTTTTAGATTTACTTGAATATTTGATATTAAAATAAAACTATATTTTAAGATTTTGTTGCGATTTTATTTTATATTTATATATTACTAGCATTGCCTGCGGCTCCGCCCGCGTTCAGATGACCAAAAACCAAGTTCTTAGGTTTTACATATTAGTATGCTCTTACATTGCAGTTTTTGTATTTTTTCTCAGAAATGAGACATTTTCTCGCAATGAAAAGTATCCTATATGTTGACCCGGGTAACCAGCTATCACCATATCAAATATCATCAAAATCCCTCCAGTGGTTTTTCCGTGATGCGGTAACAGACAGACAGACAGACAAATATTCTAAAAACTATTTATTCGGTCTCTTTATCGAAAATAATATCTATTTCAATAAGATTTTCCAAAAAATATTTGGACGTTGTTATGCAAGATGGATCTAGGCCACGAAAATCATTTTTTGAGTTCTGTCATAAATGGCACCTATATCAACTTACATACAGAAAGTAGATAAAATACCCAATATTTAAGAGGAATTTAATAAAAAAAAACTACAGTCTTGTTATTTTTATATATCAATTTTACAAAAACTGCTAAGTTCTCAAAAGTAAGTTTTTATGGTTGGATCTATTTTGCATAACTACGTCCATTTAATGTACAGATTTGGCTTAGTTAGAATTTTATTATATGTATAGATTATGTTATGGATTACTGGAATTTGACAGGAGCTCTATAGGTATGTTGACAAAAAGCAGATGTAGGTTGATAAGAAGCAGACGTTTCCAAAAATGAAATTTACAGCCTAGAAATTGTAGCATTAAAAATCACCAGAAAGTTGCTTTAAAGTACGAGTAGTTAAAAATTACATAATTATAAGTGAAATTGTACCTCCATGATTTTCTCCACTGCCAGTTAGAGCATTTAACGATACTGCTGTCTTTACATAGCCAGGGCTAACCACAGAGACATTGATATTATGCTGACGCATTTCAGAACGCAATGAATCCCCAAAGGCTTGCAAAGCATGTTTTGATGCTGCATAAGCAGATCGATCTGGTATAGCAATAAGTCCTTGGACTGAGCTAACAAACACAATGTGACCACTCTTTCTTTCTACCATTCTTGGAAGAACAGCTAAAAAATAATCCATAAATTTTTATAGTTATATACAATTTCAAAGTGACTATAATCACGCAGCTGACCCGTGGATCGATTCAATTTAGTTCAAGCTTTCAGATCCACGGGTAAATTTCCCATACTTCTCAAAATTTATACATTTACCTATAAGTTCTTGAAAACAAATTATGTGGTAATTGTTATATACATTGATAATAATTTAAAAAAATATATATTATTATTATTTTTTTGTTTGGGGTGTCTATGTTGTTATTAATTTACTGTTGAAGTAATACTGAGTTATCTTGGATTCATATCAAGCCACGCGGTAGCTTGTCCAGCCAAGTTAAAGCCAAAGGAACTGGCGACACAGCACCGTGTGTATATTTACACGAACCACCACTTTTCACCTCGTAATAACTCAAAATTTATTTAATTAACATTAACTCATAAAATTTAGTTAATTTAATAAATCCCTTTAGATTAACTAAAATCACCAATTTCATAAATACAGTTCAAACGGGTATTGAGATATTAACGTCTAAAAATCTACATTTTTATCACTGAGTGACTGACATATAGTAGTAAAGCCTAACCCACTTCCAGATGACATAGAAAGTTGAAATTTGGTGCCCAGATGAGTAATCGTGTGCATACAAAGGGAAAAATCCGAAAACAGTATTATTTTAAAATTTGAAAAAAAATTATTAACACCTTATGAGTTCCAAAACATAATAGCAATAGCTTAACACCTAGTGCCTTTTGAAATATAATAGCAATAGCAATGATAGTAACAGCCAAAACTTTTTCTTTCTCAGAAGAAAAGTTTCCATGATGATTATTAAATAACATTTTCCTATTCCGCCTTATCCATTAACAAATAGTTGCAAAATTATGAAAAAAAGATTAAATTTACATGTCACTTTAGAATTAAAAATAATAATAGTTTATTTATAAAAAGTCATGATATCTCATTAAAAACATAAATGTGAAAATGGGGGCCAAGTTTAATATTAAGAATATGTGTGGTTGTGTCAACTTCACCGACAAAAGAACTGAGATCTAAGTGGGTGCCAAATTCTGTAGAAAATGTTAAATTCTTTTCATAAGAACATACAACATTCTAAAATAAATTTTAAACATAATTTCTTTTAACTGAAACTATCTTTTCGATTTTTTTCGTGGATTTATTTGGATTTTTGGTTACCGAAGTTTTGAATGCTTTACAGCACTCACATTCACGGGAGAGACTAAGGTGCTCCTCTGAAAGGTAACTAAATTTTCTTGTGTATGTAATTCAGTAATAAAATATTAAGTAAAAAAATTTTAAGGAAATTGTAAGAGCTAACATATTATGCTGCTGGACATATATACATTGTCAAAGATAAAAACATTCATTTTTTTACCAAGCCTTTAAACCTGTAACAAACTTACTTTATTACCAAGAAAAAAATTACCTTTAGTGAGTCCTACTGAACCAAAATAATTAGTGAACATAATTTTTTTATCCACATCCAATTTTGTATGAAGAATTGAACCCCGATGTGATACTCCACCATTGTTAATCAAGATATCAATTCTTCCACAGGTATTATAAATATGATTTGCAAATATTTCCAGCTGTTCTAAATCTGACAAATCTAGTTCAGCAATCACAGGTTCCTCTGTTGGTGATGACTAAAAATACAAATATATTTCTATTATTATTATTTTGTATCTTACAGCTTTACTGGTTATAACCACTATTCCCAGATAAACTTTCAAATCCAGAAATTTTATTTAATGATTATCATGCCAAAATAGGTTTAAGATGTTAAAATTTTTAGTTAGTTTGCTGCTTTCTATCTAGGCCTACCTTGATAAGCAGTTAGGACAAACAAATATATGTATAATACATCTTCATGTAATATATCTTTAGTCAAGTAAAGGTGCTAAAAGAAGTTAATTACTTAAATGATGATGGCACACTACTTCTTGATACTTTTTCTGTTGAATATGATTAAAATATCACTCTGAATATTATATTAGGTTTGATGTAAATATCACATTTTTAAAAATATTATAGATTTATTTAATAATTTAATATTTTATTTCATATCTTTTAAGTAAGCTCATAACAAGAATATTTCTTTAAAACTCACTATTTTTTTGGATAAAAGATCTTCTTTAACTCGTTCCAACTCTGACCTTCTTCTTGATGCTAGTACAACTTTACTTCCATACTCATAAAATACATGAGCTAAAGCTTCTCCTATGCCTGAGCTGGCACCAGTTATAACAATTACCTGAAAATTAAAAATGTAAGTGATATCTAATAACAAAATCTTTTATATATAATTAGGATTTATTGTTAATCACCTTTTTTTGTAAAGCTTTCCTTCGTTTTTCATCTATTTTTTGACCACATAAACGATACATAGTCAAAATAATTGATACTGGCAGTCCAATGTATTTAAAATACCACTTAAGCGCGCTTGCAGTAATGACAGACATTGTTTCTAAACGAGGTTTTTAACTCGGTAAAAGGAAATAATAGAGGTCACACGGTACTTATGAATGCAAGCTTGTAATTATGCACCTTATGTACACACAGCACGATTGTAAACAAGGTTCCCTTCAATAACTAAACTTCGCTATTTACTTGATGTTAAATAGCCTACTGTTACATAGGTACTGATACAAATTACAAATTTGATTAAAAAGGAAATTTCAAATTTGCTTGTGAATGTAATTAAACTAAAGAAATAATTATATATCAGTAATTAAAATGTATACTGCGTATTTAAATTCTAATAAGTTTGTGATAAGTTATACTCCGAAAACCAGTAATAAGTACAGTCATTATTTCATTAATTTACTTATTATCATCATGGAACATGCATGCTAATATCATAATATGTCCTAGCATAATCTAAATACTAATTACTTTATAATTTATATAAACAGTAGTATACGTAATCACCAATCAGTAATTTTATATATATAGCAATAAACTCTATGCAAATGAACTTGAACTCGCAAGTTCATTTGTGAATACTGAATTCGATCGCAAGTTGCGAGATGGAAGTCGGAACGACCGAATGGTTTTTATATGTAGCAATATACTCTATGGAATGGACTATGGAATTGTCAATGGAGTGTAATGTGTATGCCGTATGCCAAAGAGTATAGTTATCTCCCTAGAGTAAAAATGTTCCTTGATACAATATAAACTGGGACTGGTATGCAGTGTTGCCGTTTTGTATATGGAAATAATGCTAGACAAATTATATTGCTACATATATAAAATGCTAGATTTTTGCGACGATATTGCTAAAAAAGTGCTAGATTACACTTTAATGAATTTTAATGAATTTACCGGACTTTGATGAATTTGCCAAGGTTCTGTAGCGCATCTGATATGTTTGCTTCTGCCAGGATACCAGATTTTTTTGCGGTGGTCCGTTCCAGAATTGCTGCATTCTGGGATCGACTACGTAGCTCTAATAATGAGATTCTACGTGTAATGGGCGAGTACTTGAGTGTTAACTTTCTCAGGCATTGGTTGACACAGCAATGCGGTAGAAATAAAAAGTAGGTAATAGTATTTTGATGTTTTTATGTATATATTCTATCATAATTTTATTGTAACTATATTGTAGACATTTTATATTGGCGAATAAGCCTGAAATAAAAACATTTAATATGCTAAAAAAAATGCCAACTACTAATTCTTGATTAAATGATTCATAAATGAAAATAGGTGTAAGTAGGTAGAGTAATTTAAAAAAAGGTAAATTTAATCAATTCGGTTAATTAAATTATATTTGTAAATCATCAATATCGGTGATCTGCCATACGCACGGCGCGGCGATCGCCGATCTCGTCATTAATCGATCAATATTCGATTGAACGGGTCGAACGAACCGGATCATTTTCTGAACAGATCAGTATTGATCTAGATTTTTAAATTGAACGATTGACACATACTTAAGTTCAGGGCTGCCAGATAACAGTCGTTGATATACCCGACCAATAAACCTCAAAATACCCGGTTTATCCCGCTAGCGCCAACTAAATAAAAGAAAATACAAATGTTAGAAAAAGAAGTAATTGTGATCAGTTCTCAATTAAACAGCTTTAAATTATTAAATCAAACGTAAAAAAAACTTAAAATATCAAATCAATCAGCTAAACTATAAAGTACCTGCTTTAAGACCCCGCTCAATGCAAATACCCGTCAAAATTACCTGGCATCAAAAATCGCCTAAAATTACCCACTTTTCGGGTAATTTACCCGCCAATACCAATATATCAAATTCCCCGACAATCCAAGCCAAATGGGCCATGGGGAGGAATTTTGCCTTTTTCTCCCGCTAGATATCGTGATCGCTATGGCCCTCAATATGTTGTAAAGCTCTATAGCGTAGATGGAATTTATTTTATTTAAAAATTAATTAAAATGATTGTGATTTCGCTAATTTTGGTCGTCTTATTGCTTTAGTCCACAATTTCTTCAGCTTTTGTCTTTAAAGCACTGCACAATTTGTCATTTAAATTTCAAATAAAATTGTTGTTGCTTAATATTTTGATATTTTAAATAATAATAAAGTAAATCAAAATTATATATTATTCTCTTTAACTTTTTGCGTTTCATAATTATATAAGAATTACACTACGGGACTTTAACGCAAATTACGGGAATTAAAGGTAAATTCACGCGTTTAAATCCCGTAATGTAATTATTATAAAATTAATATTCTTAATTAATTTTAACATTTTTATTTTTTTAAATTTCACATAGAAAAATAATGCGGCTTAAATATTTATTTGTATGTTTATAAATATAATAATGACAACACTAAATAAGATGACTATTAATAAAGTTTTCTAAAAAAAATGTAAGAATTATAATAATAAAAGCTAAAATGAAATAAATAATATTCAAATTTATTCGAATATTAGAATTATAAAAATGTTTAAAATTAAGCAATATTGTAAGATACTTTGGTGCCATTAAAATTTAAAAGATTTGTTTTCTACAAATACAAAGGATCTTAATTTATAATACTATGGTTATACAAAATATTCGAGTAGTACAACGTGGTACAACACTAGCTCTTAATGTGGGAAAGTCAGAAGCAGGGGGCGCGGTAGCACGTGTTGTGTCGACCCACCCGTGCGCCTCCCGCAACACCCGCTCACAGATAATTTTGTTAAAATCAGCATTTTCTGATTAAAATATTATTTACCGATGAAAAGAAATATCTTTGTTCGTTTTAGTTTGCTTTTGTGAATCATTTTTACGACTTGGAACTGTCTATTTCAACATAATTACATAAATTCAAATAAATACCGACTAGAGAAACAGTCAGCGCGATTGACTTTTCGTGACTAATAGCGTCGCCCTTGCTATTTCGAGACTGTTCATACCCGTGCTTACAGTTCATACTTTCTAGCGCGCGCCCTATAGCGTATGTAAACCTACTCTAAGACTTTGGTAGACTTTAATTGTATCAACGTGTCTTAAGGCCCTAAGAGACGACAATAGTGATTATTTTAACTTGTTGTATCACTTCAAAGTTGTATTATGCTTTTTCTTTATCCATTATACAGGGTCATTTTTAATTTACTGAAAACCTTTTGGGAATATACTGTTTACATCATAACAACATCTGTAAGAAAAAATAATAATTTTTCTTTAGTTTTACAAAAGTAAAAGTGTTTTTATTGCTTCTTCTAAACGGTAATAGTCCAGCAATTAGCAAAAGAAAAGTGATCTCGAAAATATCTCATTTCTGAGAAAAAATACAAAAACGGCAAAGTAAGAGTATACTAATATGCAAAACCTAAGAATTTGTTTTTTGGTCATCTTAACGCGGGCGGAGCCGTGGGCAATGTTAGTATTAAATAAAAATATTATTTTTAAAAATATTTTTATTGACAATGTGTACACAGCCTTAAAGCGTAAACTGTACATTATGTAAACTAAAACAACATAAAAAAACTCCTGACTCCTAAATAAAAACATTATTGCTATTTTTCCATTATTTAAAACTAAATTTTAAAATTAATTAATTAATATTTAACATTCTGTTTTAATTATTTATGGTATTTAAAAAATTATAAAAGAACAGTAAAACAGGCAACACTAAGTTACATTTCCTTGATTATCTAAATGTTAGGATTATGTTTGATTTGTCCTGGATATAAATAGTTAACATGATGTTTGAGTGAGTATTAAAAAATATATTGTAGGCAAACACTGTTTACAACCATCAAAACAACTTTTTCTGCATTATATTGGGAGTGCCGTACAGATGCGCTGACCTTCGTTTTGATGCACAACGCACAACAAAGCATCAAATTGACGGCTGCCCTATTTTCACAACAATCTTTGGAATTATTCGTCAACTATTTTTGTGAAATGCAACTATCGTGATAAACTACAAACTAGCAAATGTGAAACTTTACTGTGCCCAGTGCCGCATATGTGGGAATTATAATGATAATGGAATCGGCGACTACGCAAACAACTTCTATTGGTGTACGTTACATTACCACAGCAAAGACTTTCTTTTTAACTTTTAGGACAAAATTAGTAGCGCTGGGAAAATAAATTGAAATTATCATCAAGATGAACGAGAGGGATATTCCAAGTGTCCCTATTACAACATTAGCAGGAGTAGCCAGTTTGACTGACTGTAAGTAATGCTATATAAGTAGTAGGTAGAAGACCATAATAATTAAAATGTTATCAATACTTTAGTATATAATATTGTAATGAATGTTAAATATAAAACTATAAAATGATATGATATTCATTTTATGAAGCGTTTAATATAAATTGTTAACTGTATAGTATAGTTTTCTATATAGATATATCAGTAGTAGTATATATAATGCTTTTTATCAATAATAATACCTACATAAAATAAAAAAGATTAACAATAAACAGTAACAATTCAAATATAAATATTATTTTTAATGAACTATATTTTTACATTGCAAAATTTTATTGTATTTATTTCACTTTAAGTTATCTTTATAATAAAAAAGCTTTTAGAAAATGAATAAATTGCAAAAGTAATTTTATTAGATCCTATTGTTTCAATCAAATCATTCCTGTTATTTATTTTGTACATTTATAATTATAAGACTTTGTATTGATGGACAATATCTCTTGCAGTGTTACCAGTGCTTCCATTACCAACGCCTTTACCATCAACACTTAACAACAAATCACAATTGTTTCATCCCCGTGTTGCTGAAGAAGCAGCAATACTGCTAGCAACTCGTGATGACAACCTAGTGTCTCTGTTGTTACAATCACTTATGCAAACATCAGTACAGCATATGTAAGAAACATGTTATTTAATGTAAATAACACAATGGTTTATAAGAAATTACTTTAAAAACAAAAGATTTTATTTTTATTAAAATAGCATAATCTCACATGAGCCTTACTTGTATTAATATAAAACAAGCCTTTTTATCTTTCTATTTTTAATATAAATTGGATTCATATAATTACATTTATATATACTCTTACATCTTTAAGTATTCACTATATAGAGTAAATAATATAATAATGAAACTTTTCAGAGATTTAAAGGATGAAAGCATTCCAAATGCAGTCAGCCCATCTCCTCAGCAAACTACACCTGAACTTTTGAAGGCTATTTTACATATGAATCCAAATGTATTTGATCAACAACAAAGGAACCATTGGGGCAACCATCTACATACAGCAAAATTCAATGGAATGTCACCATCATCAACATATAATTATTCATCACACAATACAGTGCATTCAAGTCCTTCATCACATGGAACAGCTGTACACTCGGGTCCCATACCTAATCAACAACTCCTAGCTCCTCCCTGCCAATCCTCTCCTCATGTTAATATGGGCTCACCACCATCGCAAGCACGGCCAGGGAGCCAAGTTAATATAACTGCCCAAAATAATGTTTCTCCTCCTTGGAATAATTCAAATCAGTCCAACATATATACAAGTCCTCTATCTAACACATCCAATCCTCAGAATGGTGGATATTACAATAGTTTAGTACAAGATAATAGAAACTTTGGCACTAGTTTAGGTGAGGATAAAGATCCTCTGTCAATGTCACCTAGAAATATGAGTGAGCAACAAAAGCAACATTTACAGTCACAAGATAAATCATATGAACAAGGTATGTATTTATATGTAAAAATAATTGTAATGTGATTAGTGCTAATTAGTGAATAAAATTTTATCTACGAAAATCTATCTAGCCGCACAAAATGTGACAAAATTATATTTTGCTTATAGCTAAATGTGTTAATGTATAACTATGTTGTCGACTATTAGATGGCAATGTGGTAACGGGACAGTCTCCTGCGCAAGCGAGCGTGGCGCCGTCGCCGCTGCGCCAGGAACCGCAAGTGCCTCAGCCGTCGATGGGCGCGCCTTACGCGCCGCCCGCCCTCGACAAACAGGATTCCAACAGAAGTACAACCCTTGTGAATAACAGATTTCCAGTTGTTAAGCTAGGGCGCCTTTCTGTAAGTATTATTTCATTTGTTTTTTTTTAGGGTTTTCATAGCCAAAAGGCAAAGCAGAGCCCTTATAATTAGATCAAATCTGTTTATTCATATGTCACAGTCATTTTACTAAGAAACTATTGATAATGTAGAACAAAATTTGGAAAGTAGGTATCTCATGTTATCAAACTGCTGGACAATGTTATAGTCAAATTACGAAGTATAAAAAGATGATGATGGCTTTACAAATATATAACAGAAGGGTGGTAGGAGATAGATGTTTATAAACTACTTTTTTATTTAAGCCAATAGATGCTGAGTTATGTGCTTCCAAAATTAAAACAAAATTATTTTAATCCTAGATGCTGATTCCTTGGTGTGCGAATCGAACTCGCACATGTCAAATATTTTTATTTAAATTATACTCGCATATAAAACTCCAATGCATATAGAATTTGTGATATAATCATCTTAAAACTATGTCTATATTAGTTGGCTCACAGGAAATAATTAATTATTTAACTTATTTAACAGGAGGGCTTATTAAAGAAGCATGAATTGCCGAATGAGGAGAGAATGAGGAAAAATAGCACAGTAGAGTCTGATTCGGACGACAATCTACCACTGAAGGCGAAGTCGAGCAACTCTACGACTTCTGTGGATAAAGATAAAGAAGCTATAGATATAGCTAGAGAAAAGAACTGGGAGGCAGTCAAGCGGAAACACGAGGAGGCTAGCAAAAAGGAAGAGGCAGAAGCTGCTATTGGTAATTATATTATGCATTTATCCATACTAATATTATAAATTTGAAAGTTTGTTTGTTTGTATGTCTTTCTTTCACGTCGAAACGGAGAGACAGATTGTCGTGATTTTTTGTGTGGTGATAGTTGAAGGGCTGGAGAGTTATATAGGCTACTTTTTACCACGGGAGATTTCTAATTCCCATGGGAAAACACGTTATGTACAAAACAATGTAAAAAAATATTTATCGTCAGGATAACATGAAACTTGGTATTAATGCATCTCAATAAAATTAAATAAATACGTGTTTTAGCATTTTTCGAAATTCATCCTATAAGGGGGTAAATACGGGAAGAAAGTTTGTATGAAACTACCTTTTTATATATTTTTTGTAGTTCTAGTGCGAGCGAAGCCGCGGGTTCTGCTAGTGTTCCATAAAGCCGTATTCGGAAAATATTACATTTCGTATTAGAATATTGCAATATATGTATGTATATTTATCTATACTAATATTATAGAGAGGTAAAGTTTGTGATCTTGTGAGTTTGTGAGTTTGTGACGTTGTAGGGGGTAATCTCTGGATCTACTGAACCGATTTTCAAAATTCTTTTACCAATAGAAAGCCACGTTCTTTCTGAGTGTCATAGGCTATATATTAACCCGAAAAATGAAAAGGCTTTTTCGTGGTAGTCGGATTTGCAAAGTAAGTCGGAGAAAAAACGGTCGAACGAAAACGTTTCTTATGAACGCTGCCTTAACGATGAGAGATATATGATTATGTTCTAGAGAAAAGTTGTAGAGCTTAATAATGCCTACAAAAAAGTCAGCGACAGCATATGTCTAACTTTTATATTTAAGTCACAAAAAGTAGATTTTTATATTAAAAAAATCATTTAAATCGGTAGGTCATGTTTATTGGTCATATTATCAACAATTATGAATTCTTATCAAAATAAGTAAATTTATCGTCTAAAATGTTTAAAATAAAAGATTTTTCCCTTTTACTGTATATAATTTGGACAAATGGTTAAAGAGATAATACAACATATTCGTATGTATGGACGAACCCGAGCGAGCTGTTTATCTGTTTTTCTCTTTGTACGGGCTAATCTCCGGATCTATGGACCTATTTAAATGAAATTTTGCATGGTGGTACCTTATATCCCTGGGCAACATCTTAGATACTTTTCATCCTGGAAAATTAAAGGGTTCCCGTGGGATAGTTAAAAAACTATAAAAACTTATACATCTTAGTACACAAAAACTACTGATTGGATTTTAATGAAACTTTACAATAATATAGTTCATACGTGACAAAAACAAATCAGCTACTTTTCATCCCGGAAAATTAAAGAGTTTCCGTGGGATAGTCAAAAAACTATAGTAAGTTATACAGCTTAGTACACAAAAACCACTGGTTGGATTTTGATGAAACTTTACAATAATATAGTTCATACATCAGAATAACAAATAGGTCACTTTTTATCCCGGAAAAATGTACTTTTCCCGTGGGATAGATGTTTTTGTTTATTTGTAACGTATTATGTACACAACATAGACCCCAAAACAATAGTTATTAAAAAAATTGTCTGTTTGCCTGTATGTCTGTTTGTCTGTTTTTATGTGCGCGTTTCACGCGAAAAGTAATGTACCAATTTCAACGAAATTTGGTGAAGTGATAACTTATTACTCGAGTCAACATTTAGGGTACCTTTTGTATGTATGTATGTATGTATGTTTGTTTGTTGTATTCAGCCCTTTTTAACACACGCACGGGCCTCCCTTCAGTACGAGGTGGATCAGGCCATAGTCCACCACGCTGGCCAATATCAGAGGTGCTATACCCGGGTTTTAAACTTGCTTCACTCGGTTTCCCAAGCGAGCGCGTTACCACTGGGATACCACTGCCTAGATAGCTTTTACTTAAAGAAAATCTTTCTTTCCTACGGAAAAATATAATAACTGGTTTTATCGAGTCCTCCCTAGAAACCTTCCTCTGGCTAGGCCTTAAGACATACATCAAAACAATATACAAAAAAATTGTAGGTCTTGAAAAGTCCTACAGACAAGTTCTGAATAGTATATGTCTATCTCCTAATTTACACTCGCAATATTTATTCTTATCTATACCTATAATAAAACTTAGTCAAATCGATGTGCGCGTTTCACGCAAAAAGTACTCAACCGATTTTAACTTCATTTTGTATGGTGATAAAACTTAGTGCTCGGGTCAACATTTAGAATACTTTTTACGAAAGGCAAATTATTCATTCCCACGGGAAAATACAATAACTGGTTCTATCGAATTGTCCTTAGAAATTTATATAGCTAACGTTGGCTCAACCTTAAGAGATAGATCAAAACATTGTACAAGAAAATTGTAAGTCTTACAAAGGTCTATAGAAAAGTTCTACATAGTATGTGTCTATCTCCTAAGGTACACTCGCTATAACTATTTTCATTATTATATATTTCTGTTTTATTATACGCTATTTATTCATATATGAATAATAAAACTGTAGAGGTTGAATGTCTGTACATAGATGGTAGAAAAAATTGCTAAAAAACGAGTCAGTTCTCTTTTTACATCCCGTAAGAAGAGAAATAGAACAAATCCAGTTTTTTTTTTCAATTTTTTTGTTTCTCTGTCTGTTTGTCTGTTCGTACGGGCTAATCTCCGATGCTATTGAACCTATTTAAATGAAATTTGATACTTTTCATTCCGGAAAATTAAAGATTTCCCGTGGGATAGTTAAAAAATAATAGTAACTTATACAGCTCAGTACACAACAACTTATGCACCTAATTTAGTAAAATTTGGCACGCTGATACCTACGCTATTGCAGGTCAAACAACAGGTTACTTATTTTTATCCCGGAAAAATGAACGGTTCCCGTGGGATATATCTGTTTGTGCTTTTCTAGAGGTGAACCCGAGCGAAGCGAGGGTGAGCCGCTAGTTATTTATTAATTTAGTAATGCTAGTGAAATATTAATATTTTTTTATTCATTTTTTTAGTTCGGCCCAAGTTACGGAAAGTCGAAAGACGCTTAGTACCTGTTTTGGAAATGCTATCAGTTGATGAATTGATGGAAACAAATACGTATCAACGTTTCAATAAATTAATCGAATCCGTTTTTGAAACCATCGATGACGATATTATAATAACGGAAGAAATGGGTAAGTTTTGTTATTATTGCTGTGTTCAGGTTTTTTTTTAACGGCCTCCCTTCAAGACGAGGGGGATCAGGCTATAGTCCAACGCGCTGGCCAAGTGCGGGCGGAATGAACATGTCACTGAACATGTTAGGTTCTCTCAGACATGCAGGTTGACTCACGATGTTTTCCTTCACCGTAAGACAAGTGGTAATCATGTTAGATATGATTCATACATGTAAATATCATAGGTGCGAGACCCGCGATTTAAACCAGCTTCACTCGGTTTTCCAAGCGAGCGCGTTACCATTATACCTACCGCTACCGCTGCCTTGTTATTGCTGGTTTTATTTTAATTTTAGGTATCCATTTCTTAAAAAAAAACTTTGTAAATTAGTACTACTACTAGTAGTTATTAAATCAGTAACTACCTCGGTGGTGTAGTGGCTGGCATGTACGGCTGCACATTTGGAGGTCCTGTGTTCGATTCCCGGGTTGGGCCAAGTTTCATTATTGAATCTTTCTGTTTAGTAAGTTTCAGTAACAGCCCGGAGTTAGGATGTTGGCGGTGTTTCACCCCCGTGCCTCGGAGAGCACGTAAAGCCGTCGGTCCTGCGCCGACACTCTCACCGGTCGTGTCGAGTGGTCGTCCCACCGGAGTATGAGAGTGACAGGAATAGAGAGAGCACGTTGTGTCTGCGCGTACACTTGTGCACTATAATATCTCCTGCGCAGTTGCCTAGTCTCAGTGAGATGGCCGCCGTGGCCGGAATCGGTTAGGAGGACTTATACATTATTATTAAGAATTATATTATATTTTAAATGGTAATTGCTTTTGTTAGAGGGTACAGACATTCCGGAGGACCTGTTGCTGCCGCGCTACCAACTCCAGGAGCTATGTGCGGAAGCGGCGAAGTTGAAAAATCTCGGTGCTATGGAAGCCATTCCAGCAGATAGATTAGTTCGATTGTTAAATATATTAGAAAAAAATATACGGGCTGCCGAAAAAATGTCTTTAGTTGGAGATCCGGTAAGAGCAATTACTAATTTCTTAAAATAACCTAGCTTTACAAATGTTAATAACTTGAAACTAAATGACAAAATCTCTGTGGTGCAATGTCTGCTTGTGGTTAGAAAGAAAAAAATACTGCTTGATATAAAAGCGAATGAGAGCTGACAGATGGCAGCTATTGTAATAATCAAGTAATATAATAGTAAATATAGAAATACTAAAAAATTATCAATGAACTATAAACATAATTTTACAATAAACAACTAATTTAGTGTTTCTTCTTTCTTTTTATATAAAAGTTGTTCTTCACTAAAAAGATAACTTCAACCTCAATGGTGGGATATTTTTGTAATCTCTCGGACCACAAATTTACCTTTAGGTATAAATTTTAATTGAAAAAATAATCATTACAATCGATTTAAATTCAGATATAATATATATCGTAAGATACAACAGAATTGAATATATCCTACTACTAGCTGCTCACAGTCGCTTCGCTCGGGTTCGTCGCTAAGTACGTTTTAAATAGTTATTAGCCAGTGCTAGCCATGTAATTTTTTTTTTGTGAATTTTTTCGATGTTTTAATTCATATTATCCTATTCCGGACTAAGAGAAATACAAAAAATCTAATATCATAATAATTGGTCCAGTCGTTCTTGATTTATAAATGGTGTAACTAACACGACTTTGTTTTATATATATATATATATATATATATATATATACAAATTTTGAAAAATACATAACACGAGTAACTTGCAGGACGACAGTGAGGAAATGCGGCAGATATGGATGGAGTCAGCGCTAGAGCGGGTGATGTGCGCGTCGGACGCGTGCCTCACGGCGCTGTACATCATGACGTCGCCCAGCATGCCCAAGCGAATTTTTCTCGAAGACGTCATAGATAGGATCATTATGTTCATAAAGTTCCAGCTGAACAACACCATATACTGTGTCTACGATCCAGTCTATAGTATTCAGAGCACTTCGAAAAAAAAAGGTACGACCAATTGTAATGTATTTATATTATATATAATTATGCTGTGATTCATAACATGAATCCATGATATATCCATATTAATCCCATTAATATTATAAATGCGAAAGTTTTGATGGATATTTGTTACTCTTTCACGCCAGAACGGCTCAACGGATCTGGATGAAATTTGGCACAGAGATAGATTATAGTCTGCAATAGCACATAGGTTACTTTTTATCCCGGAAAAATGTACGATTCCCGTGGGATAGATTTATTGTTGTCTAGGGGCGATACCGAAGAGAAGTGAGAGTGAGTCGCTAGTATGTAAAAAAAATGAATATATTTTAACCCTTACCACATAGTCCTGTACTGATATGTATACAGATAAATAAAAGTGTAGTGTCTGTTTGCTTATCTATACATGTAATAAAATTGTAACTAAGCCGAATCTGTACATTAAATATTTTTTGGAAAATCTTATTGAAATAAACATTATTATCAATACAGAGGCCGAATCTATAGTTTTTAGAATTTTTGTCTGTCTGTTACCGCATCACAGAAAAACCGATAGCTGGATATCCGGGTCAACATATAGGATACTTTTTACCGTGAGAAAATATCTCATTTCTGAGAAAAAATACAAAAACTGCAATGTAAGAGTATACTAATATGTAAACCTAAGAATTTGGTTTTTGGTCATCTGAACGCGGGTGAAGCCGCGGGCAATGCTAGTATATATATAAAGTATATACGGTACTAATAAGAAAAAAACAATTTAAAATTTTTTGTTTGTCTGTTTGTTTCGGCTAATCTCCGAAACGGCAGAACCGATTTTAATAGAACCTTCACTGGCAGATAGCTGATGTTATGAGGAGTAATTTAGGCTACTTTTATGTTAGAAAAAGAATCAGGATTCTGTGTAAAAAAAACCACCCCATCGAACCGAGGGTAAGTCACTAGTGTGAAATAGTATTGGACTTGTGTCACCCACTCTTAATTGACGAGGCTATATTTTTTTGTTGTTAATTTTTATAATGCAACATTATAAAATTGAGTATTCCAACTAAATGGCCAATTACATATAAAATGCGTGTAATATAAATTCAAATTATTATTTCATATTAAATTTTATTAAACAAAGCGTGATTTAAGAAATTCAAATTTGCCAATCCTATACAAAAATTGTAACAAACCTCCTTGTTGTAAACTTAAGTATTCATCTCACGCACGCAGTGAATGTACGCAGCCATTTGAATTCTAAAACTGTTTTATAACGTGACCTATGGATTGCGAGACTACACTCAACAAGCTTTTGTTTTATTAAGTACTCCCTTATTTTAATATGACTTTTCTCTCTTGCGTGATCTTGACAAGAATGACGTAATTTTTATGGTGTAATAAATTTAATTGATATAGTATAATATTCGAAATATTGAATGTGTATATATCTGTATTACTATTGAAGTTACTATACTATAATAGATAAGGATGTATAATATTATAAATAGACCGTTGGTATATAAAACCGTGAATGTGCCGTCGAAATGTACATTAAGTCAAACTAAAGTAAACTCAATAATCGTAAGTTATGACTATCTAAACACATTTGAAATTTTGAACTAACACACATTACATTTTTTTTTAATTTGTATTCCTAAAAGAAATCGTTTTCTGGAGTCAAGTAGGATAAAAGTTACATGGAGTAGAATCGTTGTTTTATTGTATATATAGTAACGTGTACTGTGCGCAGTGGACGGGCGCAAGCGGCGCGGCGGCGGCGCGGCGCACGCCGGCAAGCGCGGCGGCTGCACGCGCGCCGTGCGCGAGCTGTACACGCACGCGCACGAGAGCGTCACGCTGCTGGCCGAGCTGTTCGCCGCGCACCACCTCACCGACACCACCGTGCTGCACGCCTCCACCGTCGGCGTCTCGCCCTTCTTCGTCGAGAACATCAGCGAGCTACAGCTCTCCGCATTGAAGCTTGTTACCACGGTCTGTTCAAATTCAATATCTTTTCAGCGTTTAAATTAAGCGTGTAATAATAGCGTAATATAAAAATTCATATGGTAGGTGATCGCTTTTGTTCTCACTGGAAATCTAGCAAAATGTAAGAATTGTCAATAAATACCAATTGTCATGGAAAACGATTTCAAAATTAAAACGCTGTAGTGCCATCTTATTGTTGTTGAAGTACTTAAGGCAGTCGGTATCGTGTTACTCGCGTCTTCTTCCGCACACTTCATTGCCCGAACTAAGAGCCCTTCGTTAGATCACTGTATGGATAAGTAGGCTGTGATAATAATACTATGTAGTCTTCGCATATAACACACTACCGTCATTTGGCTGGACTCTTAAAGTCCACCCGACCCCATAGTTTTGTTCAGCTTTTCTTTTTTGTTCTCAACGTCTTTTGATTCTGAATTTGTACACGCACGAATCCATCTCAAATAAAATAGAAATAATAAAAAAACATAAAAATGCTCATAAAAAGCCGCGGACCTATGTCTGTGGCTGTTAGACTTACTCAAATAAAAAAAAAGAACACTATGTAGTATGTTCTACTAGTTATTAGTTGTTAACGTATTCACGTAGTAATTATATTACAAAAAATATTCTGTACATCCTTTGTGCATCTTTAGGGTACCAGGGGAATATTTTCTCAAAATATAAAAGATGTATATATATATATTAACGATTTATACTATGCTAACTTAGTCAATTAACAGTTTTTAATAAAAATAAAAGATTAAAATAACAAAACATGTTATTAAGGCTTTTTTTTAATGAGTGTTTTTACAATAAAAACTAATATGTAATGTAATTAAAAAAAATCTCTTGCAGATATTTACAAAGTACGAACAGCATCGGAGGCTTTTGTTAGAGGATATTTTAGCATCAATAGCCCGAATACCAAGTTCTAAACACAATTTACGCTCATTTCAATTGAGCTCGGATCAACATATTCAAATGCTGACGGCACTCGTACTGCAACTAGTACAGTGCGTCGTCACGCTACCTGAAGCTTTGTGTAAATCACAGGACAAAGACAAGGAGAAAAAGGAACATATCGAATCCGAGAGCAAAAAGGTAAATAATTATAAATCTACTATTAATTTTGTAATAATATCTTCAACATAATATTTATTTCTTATATTATGAAGAAATAATATTAGTAAAAATAATAAGCAAGATGATAAAACTAAATTATTATTTCAGCATGTAGATAAAGATCTTTTAATAATATCCAAGTACGAGGCAGCAATAAGCGTGGGCGGAACATTTCTGACGTCTTTCCTAAACAAGTGCCGGAGTAGATCCGAAGAGGTCGACTTCAGGCCCCTGTTCGAGAATTTCGTTCACGACCTTCTTACTACCGTCAACAAACCAGAATGGCCCGCTACTGAATTGCTGCTCAGTTTACTTGGAACAATGCTGGTATGTGAGAAAATGAGAAAATATTACTTATATTAGGTAGTTCAGACTCTAGATACTTTAGAATTTAATGTAAAATTTTCTTTTCTTCCGTCTTTTGAAGTCACATAATTGAGTCAGAAGTAATCAAAAAAACTAAAATGTAGTTTAATATATATATATATATATATATATATATATATATATATATATACCTATCATTCTGTTACGAGTACTTCAAAAACGCTCGCTATATTGCGCGCTTGGCGTGACGCCACAGTATGTTATACACAGAGAAATGACGACTCAATTTGTAAAAGAAAAAATCGCTAATCTCTCTGTTATGATATACTCTGACGTCATATTTAGTATGACCAATGGCGTTGCGTTTTAACTACTTTGAATTTCCCACCTGTTTTTGCACTTTTTAATAATTATTTTCTTAATCAAAAAGAAATTACATAAAACAAAAGAAATTAAAAACATTAATATAGGTTTAATTCAAAATCAATAAAGATTATAAAAAAATACTTCGCCTTTATTTAAATCACACGCATATTCCCTATTATTGCATAGTCTCAGCGTTTATCATCTGTACAGATAAATAAAATGAAGTGTCCGTTTGTAACGTCAATATAACAGCTTTTTACTAAATGCATATGGAATTATATACGGTATTTATAGGATAAACACAATTTTTAATTTTTTTTGTCTGTCTGTTTGTTCCGGCTAATCTCCGAAAGGCTAGGCCGATTTGGACAGGACTTTCACTGGCAGGTAGTTGATGTCATAAGGAGTAACTTAGGCTACTTTTATTTCAGTAAAAGGATTAGGGTTCCACTCAAAAAAAATAAAACGTACCTAGGGACCAACCCTAGTAAATAATATGCATTTGGTTATGAGAGCCTAAAATATATCGGTAACGCAGGTGAAGTACATGTCGGACAAGTCGATGGAGATGCCGGTGCGCGTGGCGTCGCTGGAGTACCTCGGGCTGGTGGCGTCGCGGCTGCGGCGCGACAGCGTCACCTCGCGCGCCAAGCTCGCCACCATGGACGCCGTCGTGCGCGACATACGCGCTGAGGAGGAGAAGGATGGCTGCCAGCAACAGGTCTACTTTATGTTTATTGTTTATGTTGGAGAGTTTCTTACTTTGTTCTAGCCGGTGGAAGATTTCTCACGGACTGACTACACTAACATTTAATTTTAAATTTAAAACGTAAAATTGACGATTCAAAAGCGCTCGTAAAAGTCTATTTGAATAAAGTATATTTTGTTTTGTTTGTTTGTCTTCTATCTTAACAGTGTTGGATATTTGTAATTTTTTGAAAGTTTGATAAAGTCAAAATATCCAAATATTTAATTTATTTCTGGTTTATTTCTCCCGCTTTCTTTTCGTGTTGAAATTATGCTTATTAACTTTTTTGTTAAAATTTGAAAATTTTACAAAATTATTTATTGCATGTAACATGTAAGGTAAGGTAAGTTGTTGCTGCTAAAGTACTCTCATATTTACAGTCACTGACGTCAGGATTAGACGAAGATGAGGATAGAACGGAATTCCTTCAAAGGGTTCTGTTGGACTACCTCGCCATTAACGGACAAAAGGATCAAGCATGGAATTGTGCGAGGCATTTCTATATAACACAGTGGTACCGGGACATGGTAGTTCAACCAAAAAATTCTTCACCCACAAAAAGGCCGAAACATAAGTCTAAGAAGAAACATAAGGAGGAAAGCAGCGAGGAGGAATCTGATGCTGACGACGACAGTGACAGTGGCATCAAGGAATCTAAGAAACATATCTCCAGCGCTATTATGTCGGCTGAAAAGTTTAAGACTATGGAACGACGGAAGAATTTTTTTCTCGAAAAGATTAGACCGTTCCGGTATCAAGGTGGGACCCAAGTGCAAGTCATGCAATCCTACATAGACTATAGTGGGGCAGAGTTAATATCTCAGTATTTAGCCTCAAAGAGATCGTTTTCTCAGAGCTTCGATAGGTATCTAAGGAAAATTTTAGTTATATTATGTGAGAACACAATAGCGATACGCACTAAAGCGATGAAATGTTTGACGATGATCGTGGAGGCGGACCCGGCGGTGCTGGCGCGCCCCGACATGCAGATAGGCGTCAACCGCTCCTTCCTCGACCAGTCCACGGCCGTGCGCGAGGCCGCCGTCGACCTCGTCGGCAAGTTCGTGCTCAGCCGCCCTGATCTCATTGACAAGTATTATGGAATGCTCTCAAATAGAATATTGGTAAGCAAGCGCCAAACACTTTGCTATACATGTAACAATTGTAACAGGCTCACCATTGATATAAAGTATTACAAAAAATGATATATCATATTTGCTTTACATATATATACATAAATAATAAAAGTTATAGATTTTCAAATTTTATCAGTTGTTTTAAATATTTTTGATTCAAGAATGGCTCAAATACTTTTTTTTTTCAAGTAATTGTCGGAAAAAAATGGTTTTAGACAACACACGGACTAAAACCGCAGGGCTACTACCTTTTAATCCCATAACTTAATTTATTTTATGTTTCAGGATACGGGTGTTTCAGTAAGAAAACGTGTAATAAAAATACTAAAGGACATTTGTATAGAGTGTCCCGAATTTCCTAAAATACCTGAAATTTGTGTGAAAATGATCAGAAGAGTGAATGACGAGGAGGGTATTAGGAAATTGGTGATGGAAGTGTTTCAAAACATGTGGTTTAGTCCCTGCCCGAACTCCGCGAGGCACGGCACGCTGGACATCACCGCGGCGACCGCCGACCCCCTCACGAGGAAAGTCCTCAATATCACGGATGTCGTCGTGTCTTCCAGGGACATGGGCTTGGAGTGGTTCCAGCAACTGTTGATGAGTGTAAGTCGCTATAGCTGTCAACTTTATATGACCTAAATTAGTGAGTTATTTTATTATACCTTTGTTTTTTTCAGTTATTTAAGCCGAAAGAAGATAAAGATGATTCCACGAAAATTATTTATCAACCACCCAAATCTCTATTGGTAGCTTGCCAACAAATTGTTGACTGCCTTATTGAACACTTACTACAGTTGGAAGAAACCAATACAGACGGTAAAGACTTTTGTCGATATTATTGTACTAATTCGTATGTTTTGAACATTTTTAAAATGATTCTTCTTTAATTTTAGGTACAGGGTCCTCACAGCGAATCTTAGCGTGTCTCTCAACGTTACATTTGTTTGCAAAAATTCGTCCACAGCTATTAGTAAATCATGCCTTAACATTGCAACCTTATTTAAGCTTAAAATGCCAGGTAAGATTTATTTTTTTATTTTTGGGAGTGAATGTATACTTTAATTTTCTATTAGAATTTCCTTTATTTCATTACATGTACATGTATAACAAAAACAACTTAACTATAATAACTGCGTTAGTATAAAACTGTGTCGCAGTTACTAGCGACCGCCTCAGCGTTGTAAATGATGAAAAACTTAACTTTACATATTAAACAAAAGTAAGCACAGCAACAAAATCAAAATATCTAATCAAATAAACAAAAAAAAAATACCATGACAAGAACAAAATGAAAAAAAAAGTTATTTATAAAGAATTTTCAAACTATTACAACTTATAATCAGGCTCATATACAAATGATTAATTGCTATATTCCAAGCAGCAACACATACATTTACATTTCTAATGGCCGATTTCACCAACGTCACCTAAGTTTAAGGGATCCCCTAAGCATGGTTAGGGGGCTGTTAGGGGACAGTTTCTGTTTCACCGACAGTTAGGGGTCACCTAAATGTTAAAATGCCACCTAAATATAGGTACTAGAAATACGAGCTCTGACGATGGGTGGATTAGGTGGTAGCTTAAGTGATGTTGGTGAAATCGGGCATATGTGTGTTATTACAGATGGTAAAACGAAATTTAATTTAGGGGCTAGTTTGGGGGAGCTTTTAAGCTAGGGATCCAATACGTAGGTGGTATCTTATGGGATGTTGCTGAAATCGGGCATAATATAGTCTAATTATACTAGTGGAAACTTTTTCGATGATGAACTTCTTAAACAATATCTGTATGTATGTAATAGTACACTTCATTTGAATTGGTTTTTAGATATAGCACATTATGTAACATTTTTGAAGTTTTACATCTTTTGGTACGTTTGGAGAAATATATGAGAGTAAAATGCCAAAAAGTGACATGATGAAGCTAGCTGAAAGCGAGAAGATGAAATTATCTGCATTACTTTGACAAACAGAGAGTTATCACATACTGGATGAAATCTTTAGCTATTTTTGATCTGTTACGCCAAAGAAGTACAACTTATTACGTGTGTATATAAGTACACATAGGTTTTTTTTAACTGTATAAAATAGTTGCAACAATGATTAATTATAACAAAACAGAATCAATACGAGCAACAAATAATGTCGACGGTGGCATCTACACTGGAGCTGGTGGTGCCGCTGATGGAGCACCCCAGCGAGGTGTTCCTGGCGCAGTTGGAGGAGGACGCGGTGAAGCTCATCCTGCAGCGCGGCCAGCTCGTCATCGCCGCCTGCATCGCGCTGCTCGCCTCCATCGTCAACAACCTCACGCACAACTATAAGCTTATTCGAGATGTGTTCAATAAGTATCATGGTTAGTTGATGTCATAGATTTACTTGTAAATTATAATGTACTGCATCGAGTGTCTCCTCCATGTGTTGTTGTTAACGTATTCGATAGACACGTTAATTTTTCGTTTCTATTGGATCGACCTAAATTGCTTGGACGGATTTGGATAAAATTTAGTACGCAGTCGCCAACCCGCACTTGGCCAGCGTGGTGGACTATGGCCTGATCACCGTCGTGTTGAAGGAAGGCCCGTGCCCAGCAGTGGGACGTTAAAAAGGGCTGAATACATTACTTTTCTAAATACTTACGATAATACTTGCTTAGATTTACGCGAATACTTGACATTTTAAATAAAACTATCTTTTCGGATTTTTTCGCGAATTTATTTTGATTTTTGGTTCCCGACGTTTCGAATATTAACAACTATATAATACCTTAGAGACATGTAACACCTCAGTCTCTCCCGTGACCATGATTGCTGTAAAGCATTCGAAACGTCGGGAACCAAAAATCAAAATAAATTCGCGAAAAAATCCGAAAAGAGTTTTATTTAAAATACTTACGATAAGTGAATCCGTCATTGTTTATGCGTGTACATTAGGGTGTCCCGAAAAATTTTTTTTTGGTTTTCCTCAACGCAAGACCTCTCAAAACTTGCGTAATTGATCGTAGATTACTGAAATAATTTTAAAAATAAAACAAAACTATTACTTTAGGGTTCTACCGCTCCTTAAATTTTTTTAAAAATTGACATTTCTATGGTGATATTTCACTATCTCAAATTTCAGCTCCTGAAGTAAATATTTACTTTTTGTTTTATTTAGATATAATACACATACGAAGTATAGATTTACATGTAATAATACGTTTCTAACGATTTCGAATTTGTTAGGTCTCAACTTGCAAATACCCTTAATTAATTTTGTTGCTATAAAAATACAGTTTTAATTTTTGTAGTGTTAAAAATAGATTTTGTGATTTTAAAATAATTACTTTGAGGCGTGAAGTGAGCCTACTTGTGCTATATTAGGACCATATAAAGAACTTTACGATCGACAGCTACCTATTAAGGACTTCATTAAATAAATATATTTTATTTATCAAGAATGCTCTGAAAATGAAGTATAATGGAAAGAATCCTAGTCACATATATATGCGATTGTTTCTGAAGAAATCAATAATATTTGGACCAAATTTTCGATTCCAATCGTTAGTAAGGAACATGTAACTCAATTACAGAAATCATATTTCAAAAAAAGCCTCAATATGAAAAGGTATCCCAAAAGTAAACAAAATGATAGTTTTGAAAACAAACAAGTATTCTTAGAGTCATCTAGAAGCTTTTCGACGTTATTCCACAAGTAGTAACGTCGAAAATCTTCTCTAATGACTAATGCACTTCATTTAAATCTTGTTCGTATTAAAAACCTAAGAAAGTTCCCATCAGTGATAGAAGTTGTTTATTGGATCAAACAAATTACAGAAAAATGATTATAAACGGTGTTGATAAGAAAGAAACGGCTAAATTAAAGAAACGATAGCATAGTTAGCAAGTTGAAGAGTCAACAAATTGTCAGTATGTCGTTTAATGATAGAGATCATATTCGGGAGCTGGCATTGCGAAGAATAATAAAAGCTAGAGATGCTGAAAATAGCACTAGATGCAGGATATTTAAACCATTAAAACTTAACTTCTTTGCGATAATATTGTGTGATACGAGTGTCAGGTTACAGCACCGCCTGGTCTTTGACATATTGCTAATGAAAACCTTCAAATCATGGCAAAAGATAAGACCTAAGAAAGAAGAGATGTGTCAAGCTGGTAACACAGGCCTCACAAAGTGTAATTGACGCTACTTCAAGAGATGGCTTTATTAGAAACCTACTTGCATTGTCGAACAGAAATGCAAAATTTCGGACACAAAAATTAGTTTAAATTTTAAGTTTTTCTCATTGATTATAAGCTTTATTTTTTTATGTTGTTTTATTACGCTTTGTTTCAATAATTTCCATGATAAAATATTTTATAAACTTCATTTTTGTATTATTTTAAGCATACGGTTTAGGTCTGCAAAAACGTACAATTTACAAAATTTCAAAGGGGGTTGAGCCCTCAAGATGACACATATTTTTAGTTTTTTTACCTTTTTCGTAATAAGTGTAAAATTACGCAAATTTCGATACCTCTTTTGATTAGTGTAGCTCGAAAAAAATTTTTCTCATACACGGATGGGACACCCTAGTGTACATATATATGTATGTATATGATGATGTGTGACCGCAGGAGTGCTGCTGCAGTGGAAGCACAGCTGGCAGCGCAACCCCGAGATGACGCGTGCGGCGCACACGCGCCCGCACTTTCGCAGAGCGCTCTTCATTGTAGGCCTGTTGTTGAGATACTTTGATTTCACCGATAGTACGGTCATAGAAGGCTTGGCGGTGAGTAGCGCTTGATAATAATTGCTAATTTGTGTTTGTCAATTATTAAGATACATCACCGAGATAAACATTGCGCGTACACAATAATATACAATATAAGATATGTAAGATGGCTATATGAAATCAGTGTCGGCGAATAATACGAATGAAAAAAAAATCGAAAAAAATGTATACAGACAAAAAATATTTTCGAAATTTTTAACGAAACTAAATCATGTAGTTAAAAAGTTTCTATATTTAGTTAACATTTTAAGTTTGTAAACTACGTTAAAATATCGTTTGGGCCTGCAAAAGTATAATAAATAGAGCTACTTTGCTTAACTTTTTTACCGAGAAAGATTGGGGGAATTGTATTTTTTTATACAAATCGAGTTCATATTGTCAATTAAACATGCACCTAAATTTACGTTCAACATATATCTTTACATGTATTATTCATCGTGAATTCTTGTGTGTCTAATAGCAGTTTTAAAACCAGTTGTTTAAATTAAATATGTTCTCTCTGAGCAAAGAAATGCTCCGTCATGTTCAGTATATTGATAAAAAGCCGCTTATTATTTTTGTCCCATAATTTTCTTTGACGCTGAGAGCCAAATATGGAAATGAATAAAGAATCATTTTGTTTGATTTTACTCATAAATTAATGTTAATTTTAAAATTGGTTAGACTTTGTTTTGAGATAGTACTAAAATATGAAAAAATGTGAACATGGATGTCATATAATATTTATTAACGCTACTAAATTAAAATTGATTAAAAAATAAACATGAATTTATCATCACTGTAAAGTCTAAATACCATAAACTTCCGTATATGTTAATTCACAACATGTCAATATGAACAAATAGAATACAAAACACGTGTTCGTCTTTACAGATTGATATCAAAGAGCAAGTGTTTGCGACGTTAATGTTCTTCGTGGGTTTGGAAGATGAGGATTTTGTATCGCACACATTAAAAGCTTTGGGATCTGTTTGCGTTCGACACTACGAGTTCATGTTGCGGCCGGAGCTGAAGGAGTTCTACCATCAGCTGCTGACCTCGGAGCTGGCGCCTGTTGAGATGAAGGCAGATGTTCTTAGAAATATTGAGATGTACTTACAAGAAGAGGAGCAAAGAATGATTAGACAAGATAAGGAATGTAAGTACATGTTTTATTTTCATTTCAATTTAACAGCTTTAGCCTTAGCTATCCTTTTTTTTTTGACTTTTTAAATTATGTTTATTAATATATTTTTTGAAGTTTTACTTCTTTTGGCACGTTTGGAAAAAATTATGAGAGTAAAATTTTTACGATAGATGAAATCGTTAGCTATTTTTGTTCTGTTACGCCAAAGAAGTATATAAGTACACACACACGTTTTTTTTTTCAATTCAAACTAAATTAAGTATTGAATGAATATTATATAACATCGTTCAATAGGGTCGAAGCGGTCCAAGCATGAGAATCTAAAGGAGATGGGCGACGTGTCGTCGGGCATGGCGTCCACCGTGATCCAGCTGTACCTGAAGGAGATCCTGGGCGCGTTCCTGCACTCTAGCACCGTGGTGCGCTCCAGCGCCATGAAGGTGGTGCAGCTCGTGCTGGCGCAGGGCCTCGTGCATCCCGTGCAGGTATATAATAATAATGTCCTCCTCATAAATTTCGGCCATTGTGGCTAATCTCAATGAAACTAGCCATGTGCGCAGGGCATATTACAGTGCACAAGCTTACGCGTAAATACAACATGCATTATTCCATACTGAGAGTTTTTTAACAAAAAACTCAATAGCTTAACTTAGCCTAATCGAGAAAAGCACCAAATAGGATGAATTAGTATAAACCATCAGCACACACTCTACAGAAATGAACCTTTGTCAGTTTGTCGTTCGCCATATGTACTTCTAAAATACTATTTTTCATTGAGACTAACGATAAAAACAGATGCAACATTTATGTATATAAATAAATACCTTATGTATAAATGCCTTTAAGTATCATGTTATTATAAATTATATTTTTCTCTTTGCTAGATCGTCCCATACTTAATATCTATGAGTACTGATGTAGAAGTGACAGTATCCCATACGGCCGACAAAAATCTCCAAGAAATTGATAAAAAATATCCAGGATTCATCCATATGAAGGCGCAACTTGGCATAAAATTGTCATATCAGTTACAAAAAATTTTACAACATAGTAAAAAAGGAGTTATAAGAGGGTTTAGGTAAAGTTTATTTACTTATACTTTTTATACAAAGAATAGAGATTTATTTTATGTTTCAACATTTTTAGATATCTGATCTTGAAAAATGTTGAAACAGTTGCAAATTTAAAAATGTTAAAATTGCAAAATATTGTATTAAATACTGTTTATAAAATGAATCATGATTTTAGGAAAAAAGATCAAGATGATTTGCCGACTGCACTAAATGGTTTTTTATATTCACTGCTGCGTAACACACGGCCTCAACGGAGAGCCTTGGTTTTGTCTTTACTTAAGCAATTTGATGATGTTTCTGTAAGTTTTCATTTTATTTCATATTTTAATATTTATTTATTACGAGTCATGTGTATTTTTTTCTTTGCCGTAATATATTGTTTATACACAATTGTTTTTCTTTTTTAGACCGCGCCACTGGATCAAATGTTGTACCTGGCTGATAATTTAAGCTACTTTCCATATCAAGCTCAAGATGAACCTCTTTTTATAATTCACCATATTGATATTATTATTTCTACATCGGGATCAAATTTATTACAGCTTTTTCGTGAGGTATGTAAAAATTTAATGCATATATTTAAATATATACACCATCATGGCTCACTAACTGATTAGTATATTTGTCGCAGGGATATTGTAAAAGCTGTAAAATTATAATCAATTAAATCAATTGTCTTTTTTACAATGTTACAGCATAATAATAGGTATATTATAATTTCTCTAAGCACATTCAGTGACGTAATTACTAATTACCCTAGTTAAGTTGTCATTAGTCCCAATACTTGGATGTGGTGGGAAGCCCTAATTTATTTTAATTGGTCGATCCACTGATTGGACATTTATAAAATCAAAAACGTAAACATGAGCATGTTCGCAAATTTCCCTGCGACATATACACAGTATTATGCTCTATTTATCTCAATCAATTAACAAATTATATATAAATAAATAAAAACAAAACAATACTAAATACAGGCAATGGCGTTTTATTGAAGTTATCAGAGATTGAACACTTGAAAGAAGTTCCCAAAAATGTATATATCTTCTAATTGCACATTATAAACACTGCTAACACGCCGCTTGAAAGTGAATTATAAACAGCTCATTATAACATCGTTTCAACTATTTTCTGCATGCCCTATTGAAATTTTATTATATTTTCTAAATATTAAATAGTAAGATTGTTATCTTATTCTTCTTACTCGCCTCATTCATTTTTAGAGTTCCGTACCATAAGGTAAAAAAAGGAACCCTTATAAGATCACTCTCTTGTCCGTCTGTCCGTGTGTCACCACCGATTTTCTCAGGAACGGATGGGCATAGCAAGATGTTTTTTTTAATCTGTTTATGATGTCACACTAAAGTCATAACGCCCACAGGGTTTAATAAAAACGGGAAGTGAGGAGAAAGAGTCGCTGGACGAGGAGGAGGACGAGGAGGAGGCGGAGGCGCTGGTGGCGCGGCTGCCGCCGCACACGCGCGCGCTGCGCGATGCCATGCGCCAAGCGCGCGGCTGTCTGCTGCTGCTCGTGCTCAAGCAGCACCTCAAGCAGCTGTACGGATTTACTGACGCGTTAGTATTTACCACAGATAACATAAAACTATACTAAAATGAAATTGATTGGACACAGCTAATTTGTGCTATTTTTCTTTTAGCTATTATGTTCGCTTGAATAGCTTATAGATGTCGTCAGTACGCAAACTATCGGCTCATAGGTTTTTTTTGAGATTTATTTTCTATATTTTTATAACTTTTTTTATAACTTTGGTTAATTTAACACAAACCTTAATAATAAATTCTATACATATAAAAATGCCATCTATTGATATCTATTTGCACTGATTTTTAGACTCCATGGTATTCTCTCCTTCTCCAAATTTTTATTATTTACGTATTACCTGTGCAGATAAACAGGGACTAGAAATTGTGGTTGACTGAGCCTGTACTATCACATTATACTGCTTAAACTACAATTTACTTGATATATAATGTAACTGTATCTCTAAATATAACATTAATTTTAAGAGGTATATTAATATTAAGATTTTAGCTCGTTTTCAGGTAAATATAAATTATTTCATATATATACATTACATACATTGTTATCCTTATAAAGTTTAATAATAATTTATAATTAGGTGTTTTGAAATAATTTAAAAAATATATTTCATTAAAACAATCTAGAAAAATCAACCAGTACTCTCCGTCGGAGAGCGTGAAGGTGTACGAGAAGGCGGTATCGCGGCGACACGCGCCGCAGTTCGACCCCAAGGCCACCATCGCGCAGCTGCACGACTCCGACGACGAGCTGGAGCTCGACGAACGCGGCCGGCGCCGGCTCGTCGACGACTACCTCGAGGTGACGTGTTCTTTATACTCAATTTATATTAACAGCCTTGTTGGTTGGATTGTTTAGTGGTTAGCATGTATGGCCGCAGATTCGAAGGTCCTGGGTTTAAGTCTCGGGGTATTGAAAAAAATAGTGTATTTGACTCTACGCGCATACTAGTGCACTATATTATCTCATGCGCACGTGGCTAGTCTGAGAATATGAATAAATGAGATTGGCTGCAGTGGCCTAATTAGTCAGGAGAACATTTTATTTTATTTGGGAGCACACAGTATTTTATAACAAAAGTAGGCACATAACAAATAAAATATTACACAAACTAGCAAAGTTTCCACTAATTTAAATATACATACACATAGAGTAGTGTTACTAGATGTATATAGTAGATTATTATAATTAATCTATGTAAAAACTTTTACTTTACAATTTTAACAAGTATTTGTTATACAGTTCAAGCAGCTCATGCTGAAGTTCGACCCCGAAGAGGAGGAGGACGAAGAAACCCCGGCTGTGGGAGCGGCGAGCGCGGGCGCGGGAGCGGCGGGCGCGGCGGGCGCGGGCGCGGGCGGAGGCGCGGGCGCCACCTAGCCGCCGCCGCCGCGCCTCGCACGCGATGGACGATAAGTGTCAGTGACCGCGCACTCGCAGTGACGTCGGGGGCGTCCCCACTCGGACAGTTTTATTCCTTGCGTTGGCTTAATTTATTACGCCCGGCGCCGGCGCGGCATCGCCCCGATCCCGGCACGCACCCGGCGCGGGCCCGGCGTCGGCCGTCGAACTTCTTTATATAAGTTATATTTGAGAACTCGATTTTGTTTTATATTAAAAAGTCTTGTGTGTAGATAATTTTTATGAAGAATATAAAGTATATGTACCGACACCGATTCGAGTTTTTCGAAAGTATTTTCTTTTTTTTCACATCAATTTCGAACGTTCGCGCGTACGGTACCGATGGAGCGACGAAAGCTATAATAGGTCAATTTCTTGTTGTGTAAAGTCTATCACGAATGCGTGAAGTAAAGTGCATAATTTTTATACGTATCGGCGTCTATGTAATATAGAATAAAAGGTATATGTTGATTTGGAGGGTACTGCAATAAAACTGCATTTCAAATAATAATAATAAGAACGATAGATTTTATATTTTATTTTGTATTTATATCCCGTTTATATATTTTAGGTTTGTTTATAACACTCGAGGTGAGTAAATAAACCTCGGAATTACATATACAGTCTATTTTTGGGAATCCATATTTCTCATTTTTTTTTATTTTTATTGTTACAACGTGTAACATTATTTTATGATTAATTTAATAGAATACTGTACTATAAAATACTTGGTAACAGACTATAAATATCATAAACCTAGAAGTAATATTATATTATGTTTTATTGAAATACCAAGTACAAAATAATTATTTCACATGTCATGTTATTCAATACAAAAATAGGTAAAAAGCACGACGAGCTTTATGCTCCATCTGAAAGTTGTTTCATATATCTTAAAATACAAAAGCCCCACAATGGGACCAGTTATTATTATATGTTGTAAACTTAATGTTATTAAAAGTATATTTATATAAAGTATTAGTTGTAGATCTACTCGAACATTTTCGATTGCCTTTCTTCCGAAATGGCGAATTTATTACAAAGGAAGAATATGAGAGTTTCCGAGCTGGGTTTCACTTTTCCCTCTGCTATGAGTCTCTTCAAGTTGCGAATACGCTGCTTGTGCGGATACTCTTTGGACCGCTTTTGTCCACTCTGAAAAAAAATGTAAGTTATATTATTTTTTTTAATTTAATTTAACAAATTCTCTTTTGTCAAATTATACATTTAATTTTTTAATATTAGAATTGAAAAAAAAAAAACAAAAATTCTTGCTATTAAATAACGAATACAATTTAAATAATTTCTTTTTATTTTCAAATTATTTATTTTCATTTGATGTTTTGGGACATTTTTTTTTATATTTTTTGTCAAAGATGATTTGCTTAATACCACAATAAATAATATAGAAATTATAAGATGATCAACGAGATTTACCTTAATACTTTCTTAGATTTACGAATATTTGACATTTTAAATAAAACTATCTGTTTGGATTATTTGGCGAATTTGTTTTGATCCTGATTAAAAAATCCGCGAAATAATCCGAAAAAATAGTTTTATTTAAAAAGATTTACCTTGTTAATCAACAGTCACAAATAAGAATATTAAAAAATAGTAAAAAAAATGAAACAAAATAAACTGCAAAACTCAAAGTAAGGTACCTGCTCTTGGTCTTCTGAGGGTTCAGCAGGCGCGTCCGGCGCGGCGTCCTCCCACATGACGGGGTGCCAGGGGCGGCGGCTCGCCTTTTCCGGCGGCAGCGCGCGCCGCGGCGGCCGCAGCGGCAACGAACGCACGTCCACATATTCGTCTTCCTCAAACGACTCCATTTCTTTATTCATACTGACTTTAGTCTGAAATTAAATGTGTTACCTGATCTATTAACTGCATAATCATAAGTGATCGTTACACGCAAATATTAAAGATATTTCAAAACGTCGATCTAAGAAGTATTAGATGAACAATCACCCATTTGAAGATTTGAGTGTGCTTTTAATTTAGTAGCATTCGAATCCTCCGACGGTAAACGTGCTTCGGTGCGGTAAAAATTGCAAAATTCACACATCTAGGACGCTAAAAAGACGGAGTTCCATATTTTCAGTAAGTGTAAATATTATCATTATATATTTGTTATTACTATATTATGAATACTGATATTTTGTCAAGAAATCATCGTAAAACAGTTTTTAAGTATTCTTTAAATGGCGTGGCGCATGGCGGGGACGAACGGCAAGCCTCGGACGTAATTTTGTTTTGTGAAAACAACTGAGCATTGCGTTTAAGGTTTAATTTACGCTGTTATATATTTATTTCAACTAGAATAATTACCTAAACACAATTGGTGACAGTTTTAAAAGAACTTTTGTATGGGATCGTGTATCGAGTAGTTTTTTGGTCGATGTTTCAAAAGTATATTAAAATATATTATACTAACTAGAAGCGACTTACTATGTTTTACACAAAATTTTAATTTCATCCAAATCGGTCCACCCATTTCAGCGTGAAGGATTTACAATTTTTTCCAAATTTTATATACAGTTACATATTGTCTCAACTTTAAAGTACAAATCATTACAATTGACCTTAATTTATTTTAAAGAGAAAATTACACCATGGACTTTAGATATCCACAAGGTGTCTCCGTGTTCTATTATTTTTAACCGACTTACAAAAAGGAGGAGGTTCTCAATTCGTCGGAAACTTTTTTAATGTATTTTCATCGATTACTCGAACTAAGCATGGAAATGATTGCTACTTTTAAATCATTATCATATGATAAAATTACGTATATTTTTCACGTGATTTCGTGATTCACTACTTTTCACAGGCAATGATTTTGCATTTCGACGGTCTGGTGTCACACATTATACACTCGCCGGCATATTTAGCGGAACACAAAAAAAAGGTTCATTATTAAAAAAATATGGTTTTATTTTTTTAAAATCTACTTACTACACTTCTTTTGTTATTTAAAGTTTCATTTGTTTTACTTAAAATGAGATCACATTAAAAACAGATTTTGCGAGTAAAGGCTATTTGTGAAAAATTGTACATTTTTGAACTTTTCATATAACCGGGAAAAGTGAAAATTAATATTAAAATAACAATTAATTAAATTAGAAAAATGGTGATTAATATCGCGTATTTCCTCCACGTGCTCTTATTAAAGTTTCTACCCGTCTAGGCATACTGAGAATGATGTTATCGATGGTCTCCTGGGATAGTCTCCGCCATTCCTCAACTACGGTGATTCGCAGTTTACCTACGTTGGCAGGAGCTGGAATTCTGGACTTAACTTTTCTTTTCAGCAAGTCCCAAACGTGCTCTATTGGGTTCATATCTGGTGATCTCGCCGGCCACTCCATAACAGTGATATTCATATCATTAAGATAAGCTTGAGTTACCCGAGCGGTATGCGGCCGAGCATTATCCTGCATAAAAACAAAACCGTTACCGATATATGGGGCAAACTGTACGACATTTTCTTCTAAAACTTCTCTGATATAGCGGTCTACAGTCAGACTCTCTCTGTCAATCACTACCAAGTCTGTGCGAGCTCCCAAACAAATGCCCGCCCAAACCATTATTAATCCACCACCGTATGCAACTGTAGTTTCAAAGTTTATCTGAATGTATCGTTCTCCTTTGCGTCTGTATATTCTTTGCCTGCCGTCAATTTGATTTAAGAGAATTCTACACTCATCACTAAACAATACCTTACTCCATTGGTCCGCGTTCCAAAGTCGATATTCCTGAGCAAAAGTTAACCTGTTTCTACGATGATTTACCTCGAGCCTTGGAGCCTTGGCGGGCACAAATGATCCCAAACCAGCTTCTTCGAACCTTCTTCGTACCGTACGCTCACTTACGGTTACACCCCGCACTGCTTCTAACTCATGTCGGGTTTGGAAGGAGCTGTCAAACGGGGGTTCCTACGTACACGAAGCCGAATGAAACGGTCATCCCTACTCGAAGGGCGTCTTTTTCTGCCTTGTCCTGCTTTTCTCACATAAGTACCGGTCTCCCTGAACCATTGGATACTGCGATGGATCGTTGAAAATGGTCGACGAAGATCTCTGGATATCACTATTAAAACAGCTCAGAAGGGTTTTCCAGGAAGACAAATATTTGGCAATTAACAATTATATTTCTCGCTTTTTCTGTATACTCATTTTACATTTTTATTTTATATTCCTAACTCATATAATGCGAATCACCGACTGTCCACTTGACATATCAAACATCTATATTCAAAATCTACGAACTGGCACATAAAATAACTAAATGTTACAGTCGGCCATCCGTTACAATAACGAGTCCCTTCGTTTTAGGCCACACTATGTCAAAAAAAAGTTTCACAATTCATTACAATTCACTCATCTTACATTAAAAAAAAGTTTGTTGAATCCTGCTACTCTCTATTTCTATCTCTAATCTGTTTGTTCTTAACAATAACCAAATATGATGTTAGATTTTTATCGGTAAATGTATCTTCAGTAGAGGCGTGCACCCAGTGGTACAATCCTCATCTTCACTCTGTGAATCTAGTCGCTAGGTTCGATTTACTATTTCTCTTAAGGCGAGAGAATCTTAGACTGCCCACCCCCTTCAGCTCGGCAGCTAATTTATTTATGTGTCGGTCCAATCTGGCTTGATAATTATGCTTGTTTAACTCGACATCTTCCTTCACTATTTGCAGATTGAAATCTAGGTAAACATATTTATTACTTATATTTGGTGGAACATTGATCATGGTTCTCATTGTTTTGCTCTGAAACCTTTCGAGTATTTCAATATTACTATGGCTGGCTTTACTCCAGAGCTGAATGCCACAACTCCATATAGGCTTTCCGCTTCAGTATAGCTTTATAGGTATTAGATAGCAATTTTACTGTCGTTTGCCAACGATGACTTACGACTGATGAGTCCATATATGCTGCGGAATTTGTGTCTAGCTGTTTCCTTTTAGTCCATATGTGTTTGCGCCAAGTGAGTCTACGGTCGAGATGTATACCTAAGTATTTGGCGTCATCAGATTGTGGGATCTCTCTTTCACAGAAGGGTAGGTTGTCCTTCTAAATGTGTAAGTTGCTTGAATCGGTTTATTTGTATTGGCTTTAATGCGCCACTGCTGGAACCATGCTTCGATGAGAGTCAGGTGTGATTGGAGTCTTACAGATCGGGTCTCAGGAATCGGGATTCTCATGGGTCGAAAGAAGTGAGGTATCATCTGCGTATATCGCTGTAATGGTATTGGCGTAGAGGGTAGATCTGATGTAAATATTAAATAAAGAACTGGTCCCAGTATGTTACCATGACCTAAGGTATTTGTCTATTTCATTTTCTAGATTTTGATTGTTGCTGGGGAGTGGTTCGAAGACTGTATGTAGGTGATTAGCGTCGATCTTAATTTTTTTTTTCACAGTCTGAGCGGACACAAGGACCCGTTTGTGTTCTCAATGATGTACTTTGTTGTTTTGGACGCTTTAGGATTCTGGTAGTCTTCCACAACGAATAGTTCGGGTCACTAGTATGTGTCAGTCTTGCGAGATATGATTGTAGGTTCTCATTTTCCACATCTTTAGTTAGCGTCTTTAGTTCTTGTGAGGCTTTATTGAAGGCTGTCTTATCTCTAAGATAGTGGGTGGTGTGCCATACTCCCCGGAGTCTACGTCTTTTGTTGATACAATTCTTAATGAACGCGGGGTATACATGTTCTTTTGTAGTTCCCGCTTTATGATGGGATGTAGATCTGTTCGGTACGTCATGAATCAATCGGTTTAATCCTTCTATTGCCTGATGAAAAAAAAGGTCATTGTGAGTCACGGGTAGACTTTAAATATACTAGAGGAATTACTCCTATTCTTTCACTACCATTTTGCTTTAAATCTCAGGGCATAATCGCTATAGCTATCCTGTCACTACAACTTGACAAGAGGATAGTTACTTCTATTCTTTCACTACCATCTTGCTCCAAGTCTTATGACCTGATATCGCTATAGTTATTATATCACTAACTTCAACTAGAGGATAGTTACTTCTATTCTTTCACTACCAACTAGTCGAGCAACCAGTCATACATAACACTCATGCTCGGCGCACATCCGCTCGAGCTCTTTGTTATGCAGACAGGTTCACTACCTATTTGTCTTATAGTTATTATGTCACTAACTTCAACTAGAGGATAGTTACTTCTATTCTTTCACTACCAACTAGTTGAGCAACCAGTCATACATAACACTCATGCTCGGCACACATCCGCTCGAGCTCTTAGTTATGCAGACAGGTTCACTACCTATTTGTCTCTACAATATTAATAAAAATACTCCTCCTCTCCATCAAAAGTCATACTCATCAAATAAATAAATAAACAGAACTTCCCGTGTTTAAAGTTTGGCCAATGGTGATCACTACAGCTCTGCCTCCTACTTCGCAAATAGTGAACACTATCTTGTCGGCTCTCGTGTCCGATCGGGCTTCGGCTGCAATGCTCGCCCTCACAAGCTCTTAGCTTCTTCTATCTGGTTACGTAAAACATACAGGGGACGATTTCTTATCTCCGTCGCCTCATTTCGTCAAATTCACCTCCATCCATCTAGAACTTGTACACACAAATATCATTAGTTTATTATATTTTAAAACTTTGTTATATATCAATTGAAGTGCTTAACAAATAAAAAATAATAATTAGTAGTATTTCATAGATTTGTTCAAAAAATAAATCTATGTTCTTACACTTTTTTTTTTATTTTTATTTTTCATAGGGGTTGATTGTAAAGACCATGCCACCCTTATAGGAAATACATTTTTTTTTATCTATTCTACCTTT